GGTCAGTGGGAGAGAATTTTTGTCCCCGTCGTGTGCACCAGGTCCCGTGTAACGAGTGAGAAGGTCGAGGCGTTCATGAACTGTGGGGTCGTTGCGAGTCCTGCGTGGTTGGAAGATGGTGAGTGCTGCCGCAAGTTTTCCGTCGCGCATCCCAGTTTGGTTAGGTGTCTCCCACTCTGCTTCCTCAATAATGTCCATGCCGACGGGCTGAATTGCTGCTCGAGCGTTCTCAGCAATCTGTGCTGTTGCGGCTGTGAGGCGTCGTGCTGCTGCAGCAGAGGATTCTCCTTCGTCGGCTGGCTGTTTTCCTCTGTTAGGAGGTGGGCTGTCTTGGCGTGGAGGTGGCGTAGTTCTACCTGATGTGTCTGTTGTGTCTTCTGTAGCCGTTCTGGAGGCGGTTGGGGTACGGCAGTTGCGGCAGAGTCCATCAGGTCCAGGTGTGTGCAGGTCAATTTCTCTTGGATGAGCGTGGTGCTTGATCCAAGGGCTTCCGTCTGGGTGCTTGGGTTTGCGGCTCCACTTGATATCTTGGGGCTGAAGGTCGATGAGATCCCCTGAGTCAGCACTGCAATCGGGGATGTCAAAGTCGAGGATGTAGACACCATCTTCGGAATGGGCTCTCTCGATGTAGCGTGGCTCACTGTCCAAGTTGTTGTAGTCCTTCCAATGCATGAGGATGTCGCGGGTCTCAAGGTCGGTCATCATGAGCACTCCGCTCTGCACGAGTTGGTCGTAGGAGAGAAGATTATAACGGAGGTTGCGTACAATGAGAACGTCGTTGAGTGTGATGTGGATGTCGCTGTCGTGTGCCTTTAGGACAACGATGCCGCAGGCTCGTGCTTGGAGTTGCTGATTGTTGGCTACTGTAACGATGGTGGGTTGGGGAATGGCGCTGGCGTTGGAGATGTAGCGCTCGGAGCCCACCATGTGCTGCCCGCAGCAGCTGTCGAGGTACCACGCGTTGTAAGAGTTTGTGCGGTGCTAGGCCGAGAGCGCCAAGTTTGGCGTGTTTCGGAACGGCATGCGCCGATCTCCAGCAGCACGGTAATTATCCACGGGGCGTGTGTCGATGTGATGGCCGTAGAAGTTGTTGTAGATTGAAGGTGAGTTGAGGAAGTCCTCGTCATGTGGCGGCGACTCCAGCAGGGGTATCGGCAGGTCCCAGTCTTGTTCGTGTTCGTCGGAGACAAATTCCCCGTCTTGCGTGAAGGGATTGTTGTAGCTGTCTGGTTGGACTTCGTTCCCTGGTGGGGGAGGTGAGACATATCGCAAATGTAGCCGATTTGTGCGGCGCGTACGCCGAGGGTTGCGCATCGCCATGTTGCCCATGACATGACGAACTGCGGCGTTGTTTGGTGGTGCGCGCTCAATGTCGGATTGTGGCGGCGGGCGCGGGGCAGACCGATGGTCCGAAGACGGTCGGTTTGCCTGGCGCATGTGATCGGGACCGTAAGCAGAGTTGTTGCGCGGCGCGGAGTCGTGTCGTGGTCCGGATCGGCATCGTTCGGTGGAATGACCGAAAGCTTTGCAGTTTTTGCAGTAATATTGTCGTGGGCGTGTGTCGCGATTTCTCCGTTGGTCCCGATTGGAGTAGAAAGCGATTTGTTCGCGGCGCGCCCCTTTTTCTTGGTTAAAGTCCATGTCGCACTGCTCGTGCAGTAGCGTGGCGCAGAGGTGTGCTTCAGATATTATTCCTTGTTGGCGAAGAAGCGCCTTACAGGGATTCCAGTGTGGTCCCAGCCCTCGGAGCACGATGGTGACGAACATGTCCTCGGAGATAGTGTTTCTGAGTTTCAGGAGTTGATCGCGGACGCTTCGGCAGCGGTTGATGTAGGAGTTTGCTTTCTCGCCGGGCGCCATTTTGACTTCCATGAGCTGTTGGAGTAAGCGACTGGAGGACACAGAGTCCTTGGGCTGGTAGGTTTTGTTGAGGTAGTTCCAGGCAGCCATGGCGGGGGCTTGGCGAGTCTTGTATGGGCGAATGCCGAGCTGTTCGGTCGGTGCCATGTTGCGAAGTAGGACGCTATGCGCCATGAGCGACTCGTTGTAGTACTGAGCCTTTGCGTCGTCAGTGTCGCTGGAAGGTCCAGCGTAGCTTCCGTCAAAGTAGCAGAAGATTTGCGCGTTTTGTAAAAGTAGATCGAGCTCGAAGCTCCAGGTGTAAAAATCTCGCCCGCTAAACACGGTACTGGTTCGAATCTTGGACATAGTCAGAAACTTGTTTTGAGCTGCGAGCACGGCTTCGTCGCTTGGACAAGGAAGTGTTGGAGCAGAAGAGTTTGACCCGAGATCAAAGGTGGTTGGGCTCGGTTCCTTGGTTGGAGCGGCCGGTTGATCGGGTTGTTGAGCGGGTTCGGGGTTGACATTCTTCAGTTGTTGGATTCCCGATTCCAGTATAGAGATTCGCTGGATGAGTTGCTCCAGAAGCGCATTGCTGACGGTGATAGTTCCCGCGGAGTTCGCGATAGGGTTGGCGGGGGCTTCGGCGGTGTTGGCCGCTTGTCCGTCAGATCCTCCAGCCATGTTTCGGCGGGAGCGCGTATCGAACGCCACCTTGAATTTGAATTTGAATCAAAGGTGGTAGTGCGAAGAATCCTGAGTGGCTCTCATACCATGATACAATCTGAACCGTCTTATAGGATCGTCTCAGGTTGATTGCACTGAGTGTAGCAACGGAAGATTGCTAGGTAATGTCCGGTACAGACTCTGTCAGTAGAAGGAGATTTGAATCTCGACAAAAGTGACTATAACAATGCGGTACAAGGATTTATATAGGAATACAGTGGAATACGAAAGGTCCTAGCTAGCCATGTACTCCGAGGGGGTACATTCCCCTTAGGGCTAATCTAGGTGCAGCATCGCAACCGTGCGGTCCGGTAACCGTATGCGGTTCGGCAACCGTTTGAACTTTTCTCGCGCTGTGCACATCAAATTCTTTCTGCTTGTAACTGTCTCGAAAACTGTTTCGTCGCTTGGTATTTCGTCCTCGCTGCAGTCACGTTACTCAGGAATGTTTAATAAGCTATTCCATATCGTAACACAGTGCATACAAGCGGAGGATTCGCATGCAGCGCTCGCAGGAAATCCAAGCCTGTCCGCGCGGGAGCATCGTTAGGTGGCTCGTCAGCAACTTCACCATCAACGTCCTCAGTAGGAGCCATGGCTGCTCGTGTGTATGAGAAGAAACGCCTACCCTTGATGGTAAGCCCAACTGAGAGTAAGGTTTCTCGTTTCTGCTGGTGAGACCTCAACCATGCTCGTGCCCCCAGTCACGAGCGCAAATGTTTCATAACGTGCACACAAACGAACTGCAGAGCCACCCACGGTCGAGCAAAGAACATGGTGCCCAGTGGGCTAGTGGGCACGGACTTGCTGCTGCACTCAGCCGAGTTTCCTGCGAACCCAGTCGTGTTGTCATGTCAGACAAACAGACCGAGTTGGGTTGGTGGCGCTGCCTACAAGGAAAGTGTAAGCCTGGCCAATAGTTGCCCACTGTGTGACACCACATGCGTTGTCAAGGCCGAAATTCCGGCTTCGACAGTTGGCAGGCGGGAATCCCGGGTTACGGGAAAGGGGGGGTGGGGTACTAGGGGGCGGGTGGGGGGGGGGGGGGGGGGAAGGGGGTAGGTTTACTCGTTTAAGGGTAAAACTCGTTATGGGATTCGGGAACCCTTAGTCATCAGTGTGCCTTAATGTAAACCCTGGCACATCAAGGAAAACCTAGCTCCAAAAAAAAAAAACCCGGTGCCATCAGTGTGACTACCAAAAACCACCCTAATTATCAGGGTATCAGGGTGATTTACACTGATAAAATTTCCCCTGATCGAGACTCGTCTGGGATGAAAAAAATAAAAACGCAGAGCACTTCAACTTTCCAAGCGTTCCAAACAAACTTGTTCTTTCAAGTGGGGCCAACTAGAAGGGGGGGTCACTATTTTAGCTGTTGCATTGAAAATTCATAACCTTGTTGCATAAAGGATTGAGACTACTGCTTTTGAATGGAATATTGTCGGGTTTGTGTATTCGAAGAACAGCACACTCGAAGATGCGCATAACGCACTAAAAGAAACGACAAACACACGCAGAGCATCCCCGGTCCAGGTTTCGACAGAAGTCGTCACGTCATCAGTCAACATCCAAGTTCTGTTTGGTTCGCCTGGGGGATCTGCACTTGGGACAGAGTGACGACAAAAGCTTACGACGAGCTGTAACCGCTAAGGCGACGGGCGACGCACATTTCGACATGTGCAAACAAGTACGGTCTCTGCATGGAGTCAACCAAGTCTGCTATATTTGTGCGAATTTCGCCCGCTGTTTCGTTTTTTTTCGTCCACATTATTTCTCAGCTCCACTTCGCGACCCAATAAAAACCCTGTTCGTAACAGTGCACTTTTACGTCAGCGCAGGCTGCTGTTTGTCGTCTTTTTCCACATTTCATCGTCTTCCTCACACGACTGGTCATGAAACTTTGTTGTAGGGTGTTCACTTTAAGCACTGACCGCCTTTCAGCTACACACCCTTTATGCCTTTACTACATTCGTGGGTCCTATCAACGTACTGTATTTGCACTGCCGCATTCGACGGGGGTTATCGCGGATTCGACATGGGGGAAACTGGGAATGAAAAACAGCTGGAACTGAAGTCCCAGATGAGCGAGAATTCATGGGTCGCCAATGCCAGGTCAAGCCCTTGACTGGTCTCGCATGACTTTTGTCATCTGCCGTGAAGTCAAGCCAATCTGATCTGACGTGGCTTCATCTGTCTCAACACACACCACCCAGACACTTTCTGGGGGATCGTAGGAACGACCCAATTCGCAAATCCGCGGTGCGATGATGCTCAAGTCAATTCTCATGCTTTCTTGATTTGAATCGAAGGCGCTGGACATCCCATAAAGCTTCGGTGGTAGCACTTCAACAGTGGTGAGGCGGTCCAAGTGAATTCAAGCGATTTACTCGCGCAGGCTCCAGCACTACCTAGTTCGGTGTCTGAAAGCAAACATGAAGACACGCGGCTCTTCGGGCTCTTTCGCCACTGGCAGAAGAGCCGCGGGAGCGACATCGTGGCTACTGCTTTTGTTCGCCGCGGTGCTTCTGGGTGCACCTTCTCCGACGGTAGCAAAGCATCGTGACGAGGACAAACCGCACGGCCCCTTGACACAACCCCGCGGATGTTACAAGAGATGCAACAAGCTTAAGCTGGGGTACTACATAAATAATCCAAAAGACACGAGGGCGTCGGGACCGCACCACATTCTCGGGAACTACAACTATGAGCGCTACGTTCTCGACCCTGCCGCCGCAAATGTCGTAGGCTCCTTGGATTCAACCGGGGTAATAATTCAACGCGCCCCATCGCAAGGCTGCGTTCCGTCATGCCTTCCGTCGAGCCTTCCGTCATTTACTGTCCCACACCGCCAATATCGCATGGCTGCGTTTTTCTCCGTTGACTTTGAGCAAGGGCCGGCGCATCACTACTGTTCAATGAGAACGCGAGAAGTTGGAGAGGCTGTGTACCTTCTGTTCTAACTTGCCCCCGTATTTTACCGTCTCTCCTCTTGGCAGTTTGTGGATTGCTGTCAGAAGTGTGCCAAGAAGGTGGGCTGCAGGTTCTGGCATTTGAAACCTTCAATGAATGGCGAGATGTAAGCAGCTATTCATTATCCTTTGTCATGCGATGACAAATCATTGAATGGAGTACCTGCCCTCACACCGTGTGACAAGCTTCTTTCCTTCAGTTCAGTGCTTTTCACCGTGTGTGACTTGTCAACGCCTCCGCTTCCCCTCTCAAAACTATATTCTTATAACCGCCGGCTAACTTCTTATCCCCCTCCCCGTGACACCACGCAGTGGCCAATGCACGTTGCTGGGCTCGTTAGCAGGCATCACCGTGCGGAACTGGGACATAGCCATCCTCCCAACGTTCCTGGGTGGCGAGTGCAACCCCCTTGCCAACACGGACGACGACCCGCATTTCCGGGGCGCAGATGGCACCCAATACGACTTCAACGGCCTTCTCGACCGCTCCTTCTGCTTGGTTTCCGACCGTCGGATCCACATCAACATGGGAATCAAGGGCTACCAGCCCATCGCGAATCTCCCTGGCACGGCGACATCATTGGACGAAGAGTCGCTCGCTGCAGCGGTGGAAGCGGCGGCCAATGAGAAGAAGCCACGTCACATCAGGCAGCTGGAACAAGAACGGCTGAGCGTGGAGGAACTGAGCGAGCTGGAGAAAATGCGGGCCAATGGGAGCCTGCCGTTGACTGATAAGGTGGTGGCGGCGCTTGACAGGGAGACGGGTCGTCGCAGTGGTGAACAAGGCGCCGGGGGTGGAGGGGAAGAGAAGGAACAGCATTCTATTCAGTATGCAAAGCATGAGCTGAAGGCGAGGCTTCTGAAACAAAAGCCGATTCGCAGCTGGATCAGGTATGCGACACTGTGATTGTACATGATGCGCATGCGCCATGATGTACTCGTAGCCATTTTGGGTAGCATGCGCAGTGTTTGTAGACTGCACGAGTCGTTACGAGCCTCACCCTTCTCTTCTCCGCTGCACTACCCTTCATTCTTTTGTGCCTTCCAGGGAGCTTCAAGTGATGTGGCGCGACGAGACTGGCGCGCATCACTCAGCGTTCTTTAAGGCGCGCGACGGAAAGGAGCAAGGGAGGGGCAGCAGCGGGTTCATCGACCGACTGGAGCTCGACGGCTCGCCGGTGGCCCCGCCTCTGTCCGAAGGCTCTTCCATCACTGGCAGCGGCGGGTTCAGATTGCTTCTGGCGGAAACAAAGAGCTGCAAGGGGAAGGACGAGGACGAGTTTCATCTCACGATCGACGGCTTGGTGGACATGGGCATCTCAGCGCGTTTGGCGCATCCGCTCATGCAGACGGCTACGGAGGCCCAGGCGCATTTCAATGTGCACATCGCCCGACTCAATGTGAGCAACATTCTGAATGTTTGCTATGTGTTGGCTGTGCTTTGCCTGGCCGGTGCTGACATGATAGCTATCCTGGTACAGTACCGTTTTTGTCATTTTGTCCCATGCAACGTCTTCCCTTCACCCATCTCCCCCCTCTCCCCCTTCCTGTCGTTTTCTCTCTCTCCCCCGTGTGCAGCACACAAGCGGCATTCACGGCGTGCTGGGTCAGACCTTCACCCATCTCCCCCCTTCCTGTCGTTCCCTCCTTCCCTCTTCATTTCTACAGCACACGAGCGGCATTCACGGCGTGCTGGGTCAGACCTTCCGAGCCGAGGAATCCCGCAAGGTGCGCTCGCTGCGGTACCGCCTGCTGACCCGCCTGCTGCGCGAGCCTGTGGAGGTGGAGAGTGAGAGTGGCAGGGGATTCCTGGATGGGCGCACGGAGGACTACATCACCTCGGACATTCGCTCCGCGGATTGCATGTACGCCGCTGCGTGGCGCAGGGGCGAACACGAGAGCAGCGATGGAAGCGATTTCATGTGACAAGGTTGTGTGAAGCAGTGCTGCAGAGTCTCTTTTTCGGGTGGTGGGGTTTTTATCTCCTATAACACTGGTCAGATATATACAGGTGCCTAGAGAATCTAAATAAGAAGCCATAATGGCTTGTAAATTGTGTGTACCATGTTGCATCTCATGACTGGAATTTTATTGCATACTTTCAGAACTTGAATAGTAAGAACATTAGTATGTATTGTGAAGTGTGTGTGTGTGTGTGTGTGTGTGTGTGTGCGTGTGTGTGGTGTGTGCGTGTGTGTGTGCGTGTGTGTGTGTGTGTGTGTCTGTGTGTGTGTGTGGGTGTGTGCGTGCGTGCGTGTGCATGCGCGCACCCTTTTCTTTGTCCTCCCACAATACTGAAAACCAGACGTGATTGAGAGCCACTTCATATCAGCACACATTTGATTTTTCCTTTGCACCTCAAGAGTACATTGCTCATAACTATCCACTCTCTTCATATCACTCTCTCCTCATCCTAAGTATGTTTATTGGCATTAGGCATAACATAATATTTATCCCTTGCTAGTCACCACTGACTTTGCTGATGCGATTCGGCTTAGAATAATAGTTGTTCTTAACATCATTGGATGTACAAGCTCTTTGAACATCAGCATCCTCTCGACCAGCGCCGGCAAATTTAGGTCCACGAACTGTCCGTTGTCCAGCAGCATCACCTTGTGGTGGTCCAGGATGCTTTGGAGGCAATGAGCGATGGTGATCACCGTGCATGCAGCAACACGCCACCCTGGAATGGTGCCTGAATTGCTGCCGTGTCCACATTTGGTGTAGCCTCATCCAACTCTTTCACTGCATACGCCAATACTCCCGGATAAGACCACCGGGTCTTGTGGCACCAAGGACACAAGTCCCACAACCTGATCACTTCCGTCATGGAATCGGTCTATTCGATATAGTACCATGATTACTGTTGTCGTTCTGCTGCCTATGCACTTGCACAACAACATTTAGTTTTCCACCGAGATTAAGAAGACATGTTTTTATAGCACACAGAGCAACTCCGATTGGTAACCATTGCCCCTTTCTATCGTCAGCTCACTGGCACGCAGTGAGTGTCCGGTGCTCGGCAATGCCGTTCGTTGCAGGCCTCATCTGGTCGGTCGCACGTCACCCCGCAACCCCCTTTGTCACCGTTCCCATCTTCACTGTCACCGCAACAACCTGTGTCGCAACCGCCAGGTTTCACGTCGCAACGGCCAATTGCTGTGGACACTGCCAAATGTTTTATATACTCGTGATAGGCTATGGTGACGCATGTTGTGGTGAGTGAAACATTTTAGGGTTAGCTATTTGTACCCAACCATTGCTTGTTCATCGTCATTCTGCTGTTCATAGTTTTGACATGATATCATCGAGTAGGTTTGTTCCGCTTGCCCCAGTCTGCTCTGCGCAAAGCTGCCTCTGTGCACGCGTTGCCTTACTTCCCTACTATCGTGCGCTGCCGCTCCTACTGCCCACTACTGCATGTGCCGCTGCCTCTACTTCATGAGATGCTGCAGCTGCTGCGTGCACCACAACTGCTCTCGCCCGCGCTGCCCCCTGCTCGCTGCCACGCTACACGCTACCACGCTGCGCGCTGCTATACGCGCCATTGCGCGCTGTCCGTTGCACGCACCGCTGCTGCGCGCTACCACGATGCGCGCACCGCTATTGCACGTTGCCAAACTGTGGACCATTGTGCACGCCATTCCGTGCTGCTGCGCGAGCTCCTGCGCGCAGCCACGCGTTGCTCTGGCGCTGCACGCAGCTACATGCACTACTGCAAGCTGCTGCCGCCCACTGCCACTCGCTGCTCTGCCCATTGCCACTCGCTGCCAAACCCGGCTTGCTGACTGGCTCACTGTCGCTCGCTACTCTCTCGCTCCACCCTCTGCCACTACTGCTCGCTGCCGCTTGTGCCTAGCTCATGAACCTCCGCTGCCACCCGCTGCACCATCGCTAGCCGCCTGCCTGCTGTTGTGCAGTGTTGCCATTTGCTGAGCTGCCTACTGCCGAGCCGTGCCGCACTGCCTACCGTCGAGCCGCACTGCCCTGCCTACCTGCGAGCCACGCGCCGCCCTGCCTACCGCCGAGCCACACCGCCTTGCCTGCCACCAAGCCGCGCCGCCCTGCCTACCGCCGAGCTGCACCCCTGCTTGCCACCGAGCCGCGACGCACTACCTCCCTGCCTGTCGCCACACAGCAATATTGCCGTGCCACTAGCTCTTGATACGATCAAAGAGGGGCACCCGATCAAATTCGAGTCTTGGCTAGAGGACCTTCACCTATGCTTGCATAATGTTACTAAGGATAATGCCTCACTGTTTGATCACACGTCGGGGTCCCCTAAGGCCCCTGAGACTTTGGATGAGCCTACCGCTACAGCTATTGAGGCTGTGCAGTAGCAGTTTAGGACCGACCGCATTGCCTATACGCACTGGATGGCACGTGACGCCACAGCCCAGTTTGCAGTCCGCGCTCACGTCCCGCCCGACCAGAGGCCCCACTTTCGCCAGGTGAAGTCGGCCAAAGCTCTCTATGACGTTGTGAATAAGCGCTACTCCTCCGCCTCCTTTGCCACCCTAGGCCGTCTTGCGTTGCCGATTCTCTTCCCTGAGCGATCTGACATTCCCACTGTAGATGATCTGATGACCCATCTTCGCTCCCTTGACTCCCACTACTATGCTGCCCTCAAGCCAGAGTTTCTGGGTTAGAACCATCCCCCATATACCTCACTCTACTTCCTCACGACTCGCCTCCCTGTACCCCTTTGCTCGAGACCACTTCCTCTCCCTAGACCCCGCTAGTCCCAACCTTCCCTCATTCGAGACGCTTCTCCTCAAGGCTGAGACCAGTCCCCGTGTTGTAGCTGCCTCCCGTGGCTTTCCCAGCCCCTCCTTCTTTGAGGGGTGCCCCCTCTCCCATCTCGCACCGTATGTTGCCTCTGCTGTTGCCGCTGAATTCCTTGGTGTTGAGGAGGTCGGCGCTGCGTCCGCTCCTAGCAGGAGGTGCAGCAGCAGGGGCGGGGGTAGGAGGGTTGGGGGTGGTGGTTGTTGATGCAACCCTACGGTTTGCACTCGGCTTGTTGTCCGTGTGCGTGCATGCATGTGTGCATGGAATGGTATGAGGGCATGAAATAATATATATTTCATGCTTATAATAGTGTGTGAACGATGGGTCATTATGTCGAACGTGTGTGTCGAGTCAACAGCGAGTTATCGCTAGTCGCGGTCATTTGCGTGTCCCGCGCGGTTTCTATTTCGTTGTTTGTGTGTCTCGCGCGGTTTCTAATTTGTCGTGTGTCGAACGTTCGCGTGTCGCAGGTGTGCACAACAAACCCATCAAGAACGCAAGGATGAGTTTGTGATAAAGAACATGAGCCTTGGTTTCAAGCTTCAAGTGATTTCGAAGCTCGCCAAAAGGGTACACTTCAAGATATTGAGAATAGTTACATTACTTTGTGTAGTGTAACATTTCAGTTGGTGTAGGCCCTTGTGGTGGGTACTTTTGAGACCCTTCTTGGCTGGGGACAGTGTGGCACTGTTCCACATCATTGTACCTCGGCTCTTAGGGTGTCTAGGAGCTGGGAGTCATTCCCAACTCGTAACTCTTCCTAGCTCTTTCTAATTGTGTGTTCTAAGACTATGTTGCTGCCATAGTGCCGTTCGTTCAAACCGACACTGTGTCGTAAATTCTTAATAAAATCGTGCGATATAAATTGCCTATTGTAGAGGACGTCAAGACGCTCCAGATCCAATTTGTAGCATGCCATTTGGAGCTGTGACCATATCGCTATGAACGTTTGAAGCCGCTATGCAGAAATCCGACTGTGCACTCTAACTTTCGTTTTAGGCACATTGAAGCCTATTTTGCCTATAACAATGGCGGGGATGGTGGAGGTGGCGATGGTAGTGGGGGTGGCGGGTATGGTGGAGGTAGCGGTGGCGGTGGGAGTTGCGGGGATGGTGGAGGTGGTGGGGTGGCGGAGGTGGTGGCGGAGGGTGTTTCGATGGTAGTCGAGGTGGAGTTGGCGGCGGTGATGGCCCAGCTGCGGAGACCAAGGGAGTTGCGTATGGTGGTGTAGTCAGTGGAGGTGGCGGTTCTAGGGGTGGACATCGGCAGCAGCAGCAGCCACGTCGGCAAGAGACTCCCTCGCCGCAGTAGCTTTGTGAGTGGGTTGCCCAGCAAGGCTCCCCTGGCGGTGGTGGTCCCACTACTGGTCCTTGCCCGTACGTGCGCCACACTGGCCCGCGGGCCGGCAACGCCGGCGGCAAGATGGGGCACAATAAAACCCGCTGTTTTTGCCGCCTCGAGGACGCGGAATTTGGTGAGTAGGCCGGGGTCCCTAACTGGTTAGGACTACTCAAGAGGGGCGTAGATATCTTTTCGCTTGACTGGGACAATTTTTCTGTAGGCATGCATGCCATGTATGCTGCTGGTGCTAGTGCTGAGAGTGAGTGCGGAGGGTGACTATTATTCTTGTGTGCCTAGATCTGGTAGTGAAAAGGCTGCTAGTGTAAGTGCCGTTGATCCTACTAGCACTGGTGCAATTCCTACGGAGGTTTTGCTCACATTCACGTTTTTAAGATTATGATGGCTTTTCTAGACCTTACTTGCTTGATTCCGCTTTATTATGCATTATCTAGCTTAGCATTATTTTACATTGCATTCTTTTGCTTCGGTTTCCGAGGTTTGTTGCTTAGGTATAGTTGTTATAGTTAGGGGCACCGAGCTAGGTTTCGTGCAACTGATTCTGTGCTATTTGGTTCACACCGAACAGCTTGTACTGAATTCGGGAAGGATCCTTTTGAGACGCTTCGCGACCTTCGGAACGTAGTTACCTTGCATTGTGCCAAGACTATATGTAGCCTCTGTGAAGAATGAGGAATGAATTGACTAGGAAACATGTGGGTACAAGTAGGAAACCTAGAAGAGTTGTACCCTATAGTATCTACCTGTGATGATCTAGGATCGAGCTCAGAAAAGAGAAT